CTGTTTTTTTTTTTTAAAAAAAGAAAAGAAACAAAAGCCTTTATTTACAAGCAGACTTGAATCCTAGCTAGTTAAATGTCCTCCAAAATATTTTTCTGGTGGGAAATGGGAATATCCTTCCCCAGTTGACTGGATTAAAGTTTAGTTTAGTTTAGTTTAGTTTAGTTGATTCATATACCGCCCTGCTCCCGAAGGACTCAGGGCGGTGAACAGTCAAACAGTAAAATACATAGATACAAAAAATTTAAAAAAACCAGATAAAAATCGAATTAAACCATTTTGACCCAGACAAATTAAAACACCCCAATAATTTAAAAACGGATTAAAATTTACATATTAAAAAGAGGGAAAAGATTAGGCCAAGCCTTATTCCTGGTGGAATAAGAACGTCTTGAGCGCGCGACGGAAGGTGCGCAGATCCGGGATCCTCCGTATCTCGGGGGGGAGCTCGTTCCAGATAGTAAGTGCCCCCACAGAGAAGGCTCTCCCCCTAGGGGCCGCCAGTCGACACTGTTTGGCCGACGGCACCCGGAGGAGCCCCTCTCTATGGGAATGTACTGGCCGGTGGGAGGCTATCGGTCGTAGCAGAAGGCAGTCCCGTAGGTGCCAGCAACTAATCTAAGACTTATAGAAGAGAATATATGTAACTCAGAGCTGAACCTGAATGAATCACTGGATTAATCACTAGATTCAATGAGTAAAAAAACTCCAGAAGTTGTAAAATGCTCCAACAATGGAAGTTCTTAAGAAGAGATCGGATAACCATTTGGTTGAAATGGTATATAGCAGTGATGGCTAATCTTTTTCTTGTCGTGCGCCAAAAGAGCGCACCCATGCGCAATAGCGCATGAGTGTGCCAGCCCACCATAATGCAATGAACCTCTCCTGCACATGTACGCATGTGACCCCCGCTCATGCGTGTGCAATCCCCCCCGCACCCCATTTTAGCCTAGCAGGCCTCCCTGCAGCCTCCTGGGCCCAAAAAAGGGGGGGCACCACACACCCCATGCCCCCCCGTGCATACGAACACTCCCCCCTGCCCCCGCGCATACATGTGTGACCCCCCCTGCGCAATGCATGTGTCTCCCGCATGCGTCCTGCCCCCTGCGCATCCCAAAAATCAGCTGGCTGGCAGGAGGTGCACGGGCTTATGCGCAGTGGAGCTGAGCTGGGCTATGGCTCGCGTGCCCAGAAAGAGGGCTCTAACGTGCCAGCCGTGGCATGCATGCCATAGGTTCTCATCACGGGTATATAGGCTCTGCTGCCTGAGTAGGGGTTGGACTAGAAGACCTCCAAAGTCCCTTCCAACACTTCTATTTCTAATTCTGTTTTATTCTTAACGGTGGGGTCCTTGGTAGTTTCTCAACTGAATTGTTTTCTTGCAGGCGTTTCATCACCCAAGTAGGTAACATCATCAGTGCTAGGAGGGAGTGGGATTGGAGGGAGGAGGAGCTGGGTTGTTTTCTTACAAACATTTCATGACCAAATTAGGTAAGAGGATGGCTGTCTTCAAGACGAGGCAAGATGAAAAGGCCAAGACATTCATTCTGAAATTATTTTCTTGGATTTTGACATTTTTAATCTTTTTTTTGGCTTTAATTTAATTTATATGCCGCCCTAAATAATTACAACAGAGAATTATACAGAGCCAGTTTAATCTACTGGTAAAGGCAGCAGGTTGGAAGCCAGGCGACGGAGAGTTCTAGTCCCGCCTTAGGCATGAAAGCTGTCTGGGTGATTTTGGGCCAATCACCAGGCGACAGCGAGTTCTAGACCCGCCTTAGGCATGAATCTCGACTGGGCGAGCCAATCGCCAGGAGACGGTGAGTTCTAGTCCCGCCTTAGGCACGAAAGTGACTTTCGGCCAATCAGCAGGAGATGACGATGAGTTCACGTCCCTCCTTAGCTATGAAAGCCAATTGAGCGACTTTGAGCCAATCGCCAGGAGACGGTGAGTTCTAGTCCCGCCTTAGGCACAAAAATGACTTTCGGCCAATCAGCAGGAGATGACGATGAGTTCAAGTCCCTCCTTAGCTATGAAAGCCAATTGGGCGACTTTGAGCCAATCGCCAGGAGACGGTGAGTTCTAGTCCCGCCTTAGGCACGAAAGTGACTTTCGGCCAATCAGCAGGAGATGACGATGAGTTCAAGTCCCTCCTTAGCTATGAAAGCCAATCGCCAGGAGAAGGTGAGTTCTAGTCCCGCCTTAGCCGTGACGAAACCCGTCTGGGTAACCTTGAGCCAGTCATTTCCCTCTTGGCTCAACCCACCTCACAGGGTTGTTGTTCTGGGGTAAAAATCTCTATTTTATTTTTTTACTGCCTTGTTATTTGTAAAATAACAATGGTGGGCATGTATAATTCAAAGAAACAAACGAATAAACCCTGGAAAGAAAATAAAACGTAAACGTAAACATGCGATCTGACTTGATAATAGGAATCCTTTCCCTGCTCAGGTTCTGGCTCAGCTGATTTACGGGATTTTACCGAGAGTGGCTGGCTAGATGGCGATTTTGCAGCCGACCGGAGGAATCCCTTTTAATTTCATGAATAAAAGAAACTAAAATCAATTCATTCCCCCAAAGTCTGGTGAGCATCTTCCTTGGCATCTTCTCCTGCCAGAAGAAAATGCTTTTTTGCCGAGACAGAAGGGCACAGCAGCTTGCGGGGAAATGGGAGAATATTGGGCACGGATCAAACGGTGGATTTTATCCTGGTGGGACAATCGAAGGCAAAACGAAACCGCCAGATAAACAAAACTGGCTAGATAATAAAGCATGGAAATGAAGTATGAAATATGAAATGGATGTAATAATAAAATACGTAAAACGTTTTTTTTTTTTAAAAAAAATGGGAGATAAACCATTGTTAAATAATTGGTAAATGAGGATATGGATATGGGATTAAAGCACGAAAGATTTGTAACCGATCGATACACTTTCTGTAATTGTAATGGATGTTTATTTTATTTATTTTATTTTATTTTTTTGATTTATATGCCGCCCTTCTCCGGAGACTCAGAGCGGCTTACAATGCGTTAAGCAATAGCCTTCATTCTTTTGTATATTTATACAAAGTCAGCTTATTGCCCCCACAAACTGGGTCCTCAATTTACCTACCTTAGAAAGGATGGAAGGCTGAGTCAACCTTGAGCCTTGGCGAGATTCGAACCTGCAGTAATTGCAGGCATCTGGTCTTAATAACCAGCTTAATAACAGGGTGCCTTACACCACTGTACTACCAAGGCTCTTGTTCTCTATCTTGTTTCTCCGAAAATAAGACCTCCCCTGATAATAAGCCCAATTGGGCATTTGAGCGCAGGCACTAAAACCTCCCCCTGAAAATAAGCCCTCCCCAAAAATATTTAAACGCAGAGCTGGAAATCGGGTAAGACGGCAAGAGGAGCCCCGTCTTGCTCCACGCGCCCCAAAATAATAAGACCTCCCCGAAAATAAGGCCAAGCGCTTATTTCGGGGTTAAAAGAAAAATATAAGACAGGGTCTTATTTTCGGAGAAACACGGGTAGTTGAGGAATCCAGCATCTGCAAGAAAACAACGCAGCGCAGAGACTCACCCAACCCCAAGGACCCCAACATATCAAACCGCCTGTAAGTCATAGCGTGAGCAACACACCCTGCAGGTTACTAGTCCTCATCGTTTGTCGTTCGGGTTTGCAAGATTAAAGAAAAGCAGGTTTAAAGACTCCTAGCTTTTTAAAAAAAAAAAAAAAATACCCAAACACCATAATTACGATTCTTTGTAGGCTAAAATGACGTTCGGCATTGGAAATCGTAAATGGCTTTAAAATCGGGGAGAGGCGAGAGGCGTATGATAATATCCTCCTTGTTCTTTTCAAGGACACTTGGTGGTTTGACTCTCTCAAGACTTTCCCGGGAGACAAAAGGCATCCTTGTTTAGCCTCCAACTGGGAAATCGACCCGTAGTTTTAACCTTCCGACACCGTTGCACCGAGAGCGTGCGTGATGGAAGCATGTTCAGGAGTCACTTATGGAGGGTGGCTTGGCATGACTTTGAACTCAGGACTGCGAGCATACCATGGTAATAAAACTCCTGCTTCTGGACAGGAGGTCCTCGGCTTATAACAGTTCGTTTAGCGGCCGTCCGAAATTACCGCGGCGCTGGAAAAAGGGACTCTTGATAGCCGCTAGGGATCAAAATCTAGACCAGTGATGGCGAACCTTTTTGCCGTTGTGTGCCAAAAGCGGGGGGACTGCAGAGGGTATGTGCCCACATCCATAACTCGATGTGCCCCGCCCCACCGCGCTCCCACCGCTTTTGGCACGGGATGGTATGATGGGCCCAGTAGGCCCATTTTTCACTTTCCCCAGGCTCAAGAGGCTTTCTAGGAGCCTGGGGAGGGCGAAAACGGCCTCCCACCTCCCGGAGGCCCTCTGGAGGCAGGAAACAGCCTGTTTCCTGACTTCTGGTGCGCCCGGAGGCCCAAAAATCAACTGGCTGGTGCGTGCATACATGCTGGAGGTCAGTTAGGGCAACGCTCGCGTGCCCACAAATACGGTTCTGCGTGCCACCTGTGTCATGCGTGCCACCTGTGTCCCACGTGCCACCTGTGTCACACGTGCCATAGGTTCGCCATCATGGTTCTAGATGCTCTTGGCAACTGGTTCGTATTTATGACGGTTGCAGTGTCCTGGGATCACCCTTTTTATGACCTTTGGGGAAGACGGATTCCACGTTACTTAATGACTGGAGCGACCCACTTAACAACTGTGGCAGGAAAGGGCGTAAAATGAGGCAAAATTCACCGTGCAACTGCCTTTTATTCGGATACTCAAGCTGGATGTTGACACTCGTTTAGCGACGGGGTGAACGGCGGTCGTAAGTCAAGGAACGCCTCTATGGACAATAATTCCTACGGTGAATTTCTTCGTTTTAGTATTTCCTGACACGCCTGCCGTCGAAGCTTAACTTCTCAATATATATGGCATACGGAAGCCCACAAATTACTGAACCAATTTCAAA